TACTAACAAATTGTGGTTTCATTTTAAACAAATTATCAATTTCTTTCAATTTGTTTAAAGTACATGTTAACATATTTCTAAATGTCAGCAAATTTTGAACCAGGTCAATAATACCATCACTTGTGCCTTGTTTATAAGGAACTGAAATATTAGATAACCTTCTCAACCTAAAAAACGGCTCAAAATTTTGATCTAAAACAAAAAGTTCTAAGGAAGTTCCTAAATAATAAAAATTTAATAAATATAAATGAAGTCATAAGAGAAATAAAATTAGAAGCATACCGTGGGCATGAATTAAAAATATATTAATTTCTTTAAAAATCTTTAGATTCAAATTTTTGCTTGTTAAGTAATTTAAAGCATCATCCAATGAATCTTTTCCGCATTTCCCAAGCTTATCATGGTCATCAGATGTATGTGATTGAACTTGAGTTGTATTAAAAAATGGTCCATTGGAAACTTCACCGAGAAGAACTTCGTATTCATAATGGTTACTTTTATATACTCCGAATATATCGTTTTTCTTTATTGGGCCTTTAGACCCATTTCGTCGTTTACTTGCTTTGCTTGTTGTTTCATAATTAGTGATTATATATGATCTATTAATAAATAAATGAAATATGAACTTACCATCTAACAAATAAATCATCTTCTAAATCATGTGTAATAAATTTTACAATAGGTTGTAGTGCATCATGCTCCCAAGTTGATTCATTTATTGAGGGACTTTGAATTTTGTATTCTGGAATCCTCCATAAATTTAGCCTATTTAAAAACTTAATTATTGCATTTTATAAGAATAAATAAATGTACAAAAATACTTACATAGAATTAACTAAATCTTTCGTGTTAGAGAATAATGATTTATTCACATATTCTGGAATATTAATGAATGGATTATCGCGTACATCTAAAATAAATTTTTCCAAACTTTTTTCTAATGGTATTTGTTGAATTGGTTCATTTACTGCATCCCATAAATTCTTTTTTTCTAGCGCATCCTTAATTTGCATATACCGAACAATTATATTTTCGACATCTATAATGCCAGATAAG